ATACGTTGTGTGTTTTTGTGTACCACTAGCGGATCCAGGATTGAATTTTGGAGGAGGCTTCAGCCCGAAAAGTTTTTTTTTTTATTAATAATGATTACTACTTTGGTAGAAAAAGAAAGAAACTATCTATTTTTATTGGTTAGCCAGGCAGAAGAGGGTGACGGCAAAAATAAGATACGTCTGGTTCAGTGGGGGTAAAATTCGTTGCAGACAATCAGATGGAGGTCCAGTAGTAATTATAGAAAAACCAAGTGATCTGGACGTTTTCAGCTGAACTTTGCATATAAGTTACCTTGCAGCAGCAATTAATTTACCTGCTCTCGCTATAAATATATTTATTATATTTTTTTCATTTCCAGCTTTCTTTATTTTTTTATAAATGTAGCTTCTCTTGTTGTTTTTTGTATCAATTTTTACTCATCAGAAATATTATTATTTTAATTTTAAGCTTCTTTTATTTTTGTATAAATTATTTAGAACTTTATTCGATTCCTTGCCAATTTTTATCAATTTATCTAGACCAAGGAGAAATTTATATTTTCTTATGTTATAAATTAATTTTAACTGAATATTTATTTCGAAACACCGAAAATTTATTTTTTTTCATCACAAAGTTTATTTTATGTAAGCATTGGTTTTTTATATTTATAAACTTGACATTATGCTTAAAAAATGCTATATCCTATCCTTCATCCTTGATAATTTTTTTTTTTTTTTTTCCAAAATCCTACTTCCCAACCCTCCAGTCATGACGAATATCCTGAATTCCTGTCACATCAATGCACAATCCCTTACTGCACACTAGAATTAATTTCAGGAACATTTCCTTGATAATTTTTACCACATAATAGCAATATCCGAAACCTATTTAAAACCTTTTATCCCTTACTCCCAGATTTCCCTACCCAATTATTCCTTCCTACTATTGTAATAGTATAGAAAAGTAAAATTGTAAATAGTTACTACTGCAAATATGTATATAAATTATTAGAGCGTTCTTCATTATTTTTATTTCATGTTTATTTTCAATTTTTTGTTTTTTATTTTTAACTGATCTAAATTAGTAAGTAACTTATAATTTTTTCTATTATTTTTTTTTTATTTTGACTATTTAATTACTGTATATTTTTGTTTATGTATCTCTAAGGCTCCTTAGCCCATATTATTGTCTTTTTATATTATTCTAAAGGGACTTGTCCCAGAATAAATAAAGCATTATTATTATTATTATTATTTATCTATATTAAATGGCATTTAATTGGTTCTTGAAGTTCTATTAAATTACACAAATGTAATCACACAACCGATAATACTTTTAAAGATAGGTTTTTAATATTTATTTCATAAGATATGGTTTTGTTTTAACATTTTGGGGGGAAGGGAGGCTTCAGCCCGTAAGCACCCCCTCCTCCCGTAGATCCACCTGTGTCTTGTACTGGTTACATTTTATCCAATGACTATTTTAATTTTATTATTTATTTATTCAATAATATAACATTCTGTCAGACAGACAATAATTATAGTGAGGTAATAAGAATACATTCACACTATATACATATAAAACATAAAATAAATAGAAGAAAATAACAACTAAATAATAATCAAGAACTATATAAAATAAATAAAAGTAAAATAACTTAAAGATAAGTAAATTTAAAAAAATACAGACATACTTATATACATTGTTTACAATTTGGGAAAGGAAATCCAACTATAGAGGGAAAACAGGACTTTCGGAGATCTCTGTGCTATTCTCTCAACCGCGTCGCTGGTGCTAAACAATGACTATTATTAATTTTTACAGCATATCTCACATTTGTGATCCAAAAGTTCAGAAGACCGAATTATCATTAAAATTACCGCAAAATTTTGTTGTCAAACAATCATGATCAACAATCTATCAAATTAAACACTGATGTACATGATACATTATTATATATTTTAACCGATGTATATTACAGTTCTTATTTAAATGGAGATCGCAGAACTGTTTCCATTTTTGTGGGCGCGGCATTCGCGAACTATGACTTGTTAAAGTTTATATAGGTTGCGAGAGGAAACAGATTCCGATGCAACCTATAAGCAACTGCAATCTAAACAGACTGATAAACATCTGTGGCGCCTTTCTGTTGCAAGAAAATTATAGAATCTTTTATAGACAGCCTTGGTGGGATCAACGATCCGATGTGCATATTCGAAGGATGAATAAGAAACTTAGTCACTCTATGGTATGGGAATAGTATTGTAAACATCATGGAGGAAATGTGGTTTATTAATAATTCCCAGGTTGTCGTTAGTGGAAAAATATTTTAAGCGTGTTTCTGGAAGTGATTACCAAGTAGTCATTTTTCAAGTGAAAACTTCTTTAGGCTCGTTTTGCGCTTTGTGGAGAGTGAATTAGATAGAGCAGTCGGATCTCCGATGTGTTATGCTCGGGTAAAGTCGGCTGGAATCGACTAATTGAAGTGTTTGCGCATATGAATTGTTAAAAACTAATAATCGAACGTGCATATTATTAGTGAGAGAATTTTTCAGCAGTTAATCTTCTCTGTAATGGGTTATAATTGAAAATTGTATCTTAAAGCGACGCTGTGTTAGAGAGGCGAAAAGAGAAAAAATAGTGTCCAAAAACAAATGATATCGAGTTTTATGGAAGATAGAATATATGGTTTAAAATATCTCAGAAACTAAAAATTGGACTTGCATACTATAAGCGAGGGGAATGGGAATCCTCTTTACTATGAGCTACTGTTTATAATTTATATTTTATATTATTAATCTCGCTTTGCTGATGTTTTCACTTCTATCGTGTGGTCTACTCATTCTCTATTTCTGGTGATATATTTGATGTTATTGGTGCACCATAAAATAGGACCGGTCTTAAAATACTTTTTTAAATAATTGATTTTATGCGCAGAGATAAGTTAGTAGTTTATATTAACTAGTATTACAATACACCAAACACGAACACCATTTTTTTTTCCATATAGCGGTACTAGAAGGAGGTTGTTCTTGATGTACAATCCAAATATTTCATATGCAGTTCACCGTATCATTCATATCTACTAGTCTTATTTGGAGAAGTCGTAGCAATATATAATTGTATATTTTTTTAACCTAACACTCACAGTTTACGCTCTGAACAAAAAACCTCGTTTTACTCATTTATGTTAGAGTAGAAGAGTCCCCAATTCAGAAAAGCTTACCTTGCCATGCCCTTAAGTGAGTTATCAGGTTAATTTAAGTTGGCGAGAAGAAAACATCTAGTCGGTGGCATACATTCAATTTAAACAATTGTTAACGTACATTAGCTATTAGAACCTTAAAAAATGACAAACTATCACAAATTAGGATTTCAGTGGTTTCAAACTTTCAAATCACACAAGATCCAGGCTGAGAATCAGTGTGGCCCGCGGGCCAAAATGTTTGGAGGCCTCTGCTCTAGAGTATTGTTTTTGTTTCTAATTTGTGCCCGTTCCATCTGCTGTCCGTTTTTCAAGAAAAAGCAAAGGGAATTTTGCCAAACTCATAATTACTTTACGTTTGTTTACTGTTAGTGTTGATTGAGACATGGTGAATTCAATGATTCCTGTTACGATTTATTAAATGCATTTTCTTTATCCACCATCTCCTTTGACGAATTTTACTCCTTCTTTTATTTTCTTTTGCTCTTTTTCGTTTCTATTTGTAAAATCTAATAGGTTTGAACAAATGAAATCCCAACGTCCGCCATGATTATTTTTTCTCTGTTTCTTGTTTTTGTATGTTATTTTGTTTTTTTTTAAATTTTAAACCTGTTTTTTCAGAAAATTTTTCAAACTGAAAATATATTGCCTCGACATATTTCTCTCTAATAAAAAAGAAATTCTTTTTATAAAAAAAAAACGTCGAAACTCAATATATAATAATAATAAACACCTGAAGGAATAAATAAGAAAGTGAAACAATTTGTATGGAAAGCTGAATAATTTTGTCTTATAAACGATTAATTAATATAAATCTTAAGAATTACCTGGAGTTCTCATCTTCCCCGTCGGTACACTGAGTTGAAGTGTAATTCCTTCATGTTTTATCCTTTTCCATGTCCTCGGAACCCATAATTCTCCCTATAACTCCTTCTCCTACGTTCTTCTATTCACTCTCTCAATACTAGATCTCAACCTATTTATTTATATATCTCCTTCCAAAAAAAATACTTCCTTCAGCAAATCCTTCATCATTAGTATTACCTCCTTTTGGAACTCTTTACCTATCTCTATACGTCAATCCTCATCCACAAATTCCTTCACGCAATTCCTATTCCATCACTTCATATTCAAACTTGTGTGTACTGTATAAGTCAATCAACTTTACTGTTGCAATTACCAGTTAATTAAGCATCTTTTATATTTTCTGTATATATGGTATTAATGTGTTATATCATACCTATCTCTATACGTCAATCCTCATCCACAAATTCCTTCACGCAATTCCTATTCCATCACTTCATATTCAAACTTCTGTGTACTGTATAAGTCAATCAACTTTACTGTTGCAATTACCATAATTATCACTATAATTATTGACCACGTGACAGATTGTTATATTTAAAATTTAAAAAAACATCATTTTGTATACTCTAAGCCAGTATATAAACTAATGTTCATGATTATGGAACTATGTTATGATTCTTAGGGGACTGTAGTTCCAGAATGAAATTATTTTTTCTTTTTAGTTAATAGTTACGACTTTTTGTTTTTCAGTCAAATACTGGATTATTTCCTTCTTGGTTTATGTTAAAATTAAAATCTACACTATTTCGGCAATTTTGGCTTCTTGCACCTTCAAGTTTTTAACTGTTCTGAAATGTACCCTTTGCTTTAAGACCAAAGTATTTGTGACGACCCTAGGGAGAGAGGTGTTAGTTAAAATCTTGGTAAGAATTAACGACACCTAGGGGTTAGTGGAGGGGTAGGGAGGGAGAGGGGCGCTGGTGGGGGTAGACTATACCTAACGTGGAGGGGATGAGCAGTGCGCCGCCGGCTGCCGTAGCGAGCGGACCTGTTGTCTTTTTTATCAGTGATTGCTGTCGATGTGCTAAGCTAGGCGATGTGGAACGGAGGGGAGCCGCAGCGGGTCCTGCTCTGGCTGGTCTGTTCGGCCTCTATCGCCGCCATCCTCTTCTTGGCCTGGAGGCAGCAGCAGCTCGAGTCCAGGATAGCCGCTCTGGAAGTCAAGGTGTCGTCCGAAGGAGAGAGTCTTCAGCGCTTCAGGAGGGATGTCCAGCCTGTGTCCCAGCAGCCTTCGGAGTGCGTCTGTCCACCAGGTGAGCCAACTAACCGCAGGGTATTAGCGGCAAGCCGTGCATTCGGAGCTAGTAGTGTGGTTAAGGCACCATATCCATTCTTTAATTCAGTATTAAAGTTAGCACATTTTGACAGCCACTCCGCAGTATCCTGTTAATACAATTTTATCTTGTAGTGTGCGGCTGTGCCAAAAACATATCTTTCCTCTAAGCATTCAGTAAAAAATAGACGGAAAATCTGATTTATGAAGTATAGGCTATTTATTTAGGCTTAGGAATAAATTTAGTTTTTACACTTATTGACTGTCATTTCTATATCGCTAAACCATTATAAATAAATTCCAAAGCTATATTGGATGCAAGATATAGATGCATAATTTATATTACCGCTGACGCTTTTTTATACAGAAATTTAATTTTCAAAGCGAATTGAAATAATTACAAAGATCTCTGTATTAGATTTAACTCTGTCATGTAAACAGAAATCCTAATGTTTACGCCACTAGTAGAACCAGGATTTAATTTTGGGGGAGAGGTCTTCAGCCCGAATGTTTATATATATATATATATAAAGATATATATATTTATAAAGATAATTAATTACTTTACAGATAGAAACTAACTGCCTATATAAAATGGTGTTCAAGTAATTCTTAAAGTCCTATTAAATGTAATTAGACGAAAGAAAGATTAATATCATCTTTTTTTCTTAAGATATGGTTATATTTTACCATTTTGGGAGGGCTTCAGCCCGAAAGCTCTCTCCCCTTTAGATCCGCCTGTGGTTAACGTAAAATCCTCATCACGGTCAACGATGTCTGTCAAGAAATATATAATGTATTTCTTGGCTAATTGGGAATCTGGCCTGGATAGTATTTTTATTTTATTTATTTATTGAATAATATAACATTCTGTCACTTGGACAATGGTTATAGGGAGGTAAGATCACATTCACTCTATATGTAAAAAAAAAAGTTACTAGTATAGGTATAGTGTACGTGTATTAGTTTAGGCTGTTAATGGTACATATCATGCACATATTTTATAATGTGTACAATTGGAAATTATATCAACGGTTATAATAATAATAATGGTATTATGTAACGATAGGTTAAATAAATTTATAGTTAAATGAATGAGTCGACTTTATTAAGAAATTCATGAGTTGATACGAGGAGTGTCCAGAAGGGGTTTTTATGGGGCAAGTTACAGGGGGCATATTTTGACCGTTTTTTTTTTTTAATTTTTGAGGCGGGGGGTTCAAATTTCAATCGGAATGAAAAGTTTCTAAATAAGGACTAGGAGAAAACGTGTAAGTATAATAGTATATGATCTACGATTTTTCTATTTCTACTTTCCCTTTCTCTGTTTGTATGAAAAGGTGAGCAATAAAATATCTTGGGAGGAGGAGGGGGTAGGTTCTTCGCCATCGACCTTGGAGGGATGGGCACTCCTGGTTGGTACCATGAGGATTATGTGTGTGAGAACTAGTTTAAAAACTGAAAATAATCTTGATTGTATACATAATGAATGCACAGAGGTTGGTTGTATTTGTTTGACAAAAACACGAATAAAAGAGTAAAAAATGTTATTCCATCGAATAAGGATTTTAATATCAAAGTTGAAGGTAAAAAAAAAGTTAAAGAGTTGAAGAGTATTGTTTTCGTTGAAAAAAAAAGTTTTCCACCAGTAAGTGTTTTTAAGCAATTAACAAATAGGTCTAACACAAAATTTATATATATCCTATGTTTTTAATAATATATTTTTAATAATGTCTTTATGAAATAACTGTTTGTTAAGCAATAACTGATAAGAAATCTGAGGAAATTATCCAGAGTTTGAACAGGAATATTTTAGATTTAACAACAAAAAAAAAAAAAAAATGTACTATATAATTCAAAATCAAACAGAACATTATATTAGTCATGAAAACATTCACCCGACCTTCATTTGCAATGTCAATTAGCTCTTCTTGTTGCCATTAAGTAAATTAAAACGAAATTCTTAAGAAAATATAAATATGTACATTACTAATTAAGTTATTTAAATAATTTTTTTCAGGATTTCATTATAAATATAAACAAAAATAAATCGTATTAAGATAAATACAATTAGTACCAGGAATTATTATAAAATTTTGTTTTCCTTAAGGGAAGCGCGCTCCCTTACTGGATTCCCCAATGCCCCTTCTATATTTATCTAAACCTTGGAAATAGGGGTGACCATCGGTTGTCGATATTATCGAAATATCGATGTTTTCTTGCTCAAATTTGATATTTTATCATCGATAGTATCCACTTCGATAATGTCGACTATCGATATCGTCCCTTCGATATTTTAATTTTAAAATAAAAATTAAAACTATTTTTAGAAAGCGCTAGAAATTATATATGAATCTGTTTGTTAGAAACAAAAAAAAACGCTGCAAATTATTTCACAATGGTTTATTATTAACAAACAATTATACAACTACAGTAACATTACCTTCCTGGTGACAAAGAAAAGGAAACAAAAGGTGATTCGAATTATTGGATTAATTTTTTTTTTTATCATTAGTAATATGTTAAAAAGAAATTAGCATTAGTTTAGTAACACATTCAAAATCAAAAACCAAAAGGATATAACCTTTGCAGTATAACATAATATAATATCTAGAGACCATATCTTCGCTCCTAATTATTATATTTTAAAGATTATTTTTTTTTTTAGGAAATTCCGTAAACTTTTAAATAACCATATTGATAAAAAAAGTGTATACTTTTTGAGTTATTCGGAATATAATTTTACCATCCCTCGTAACTTTTTTTCCAGCTCCTTTTCGTTAAAGTTTTATATATAGATAAATTTAAAGGACACCGAAAAGAAGACTTTAGCGAAGTTTCATTGAAATCGGTGCTTTCGTTTAGGCGCTACAGACTATAGCAACGGAGGTTTTTCGGTCGCCATCTTGAAAGGAAAAGGCGGATAGAAATGTCGATAAAGGAGGATCATCCTTGGATGACCTCATTTTTTAAATTCAAATTTGAAAGAAAATCAGTCCAATAGTTTTGGAGAAAATGCGCGGACGGCAGAGAAAATTTTTTCTATTCGTTTTTCGAATTCTACGTATCCTGAAACGTGAAACCTCAAATTTTGAGAGGGGGTTAAGTTTTTAAATTTTTTGTTCGATCACAATGGTTCATTATTGAAAATAATAAACCAATATACTTACTTATCTTGCTTGTTTTATATAGAATGTAGTTCGTAGTAGGAGAAAGTATATTTCGATAAAAATCGAATGTCGATGGCATCCTTAAGTAGAGTTGAATAGTTCTCCTGGGACCCTTCCCGCCTTGTAAACTCAATTCGCCCAGATGATTTTAGTTAGAACCATCTCAAATCAAGGTCATGATTTTCAAAGAAGTCTATGAAGGTTGCAAATAAATTAGCATTTCCTGAATCGGATCTATGGGCGAACGGAAGGCATAATTAATTGGTTTAATGGAAATGGAAAGAAATTGGAAAAAAGCGGAGGATGCCGAAGATGGACAGAAAATAGAAATTTTATATTACTAAGGAAGAAGAATTGATATTTTCATTAATTAATTTAAAGAGGAAAATAACACTTTTTTAGATGCTCCTATGTGCTATAGAATAGATTTTTAAAATGATATTAAAAATTCAAAAATTCCTATCTAAAAAATTACAGTAATATCTCTACACTAATAAGCTAATAAGTAACTGCAAGACTCTTGCGAGACTCTTGCGCAAGTCCAAGACCATGACCAAAACTGAGTTTGCAAGACCAAGACTCGTCTCGGTCTCGCATTTGGGCAACACTAATAGTTATAGGCCAATATTAATATCGATGACAATATTTTAAATTACTAAGCCTTCTTTATCCCATCACTATTTGGAACCAAGAGGGAAAATGTCCAAAACTTTGAAAATTGTTTGAAACATGTTTAAGGAACTGTTCATAACTGTGAAATCATCCAAGTGAAAAAACAAATCACTGGTTTGTTTAAAATAGAAAAGAGCAAGCAACTGGATTACTATAGTTAATTTGTACCTTACCTATTTTTGCATAACTTTTTATTATATCAACTATAAATATGATTAATATAATTTTATTATTAAATCTTATTGTTATAATTTTAAATTGAACTTATAACCAATCTATCCCATTGTGTCCTGTTAAAAGATAGTGTATACATCTGTTCAGTTCATTTTATCTATTCATTTGCATAAACTATGGAGGACTTTTTAAAAAATAAATTTTAATAATATAATTTAGTAGTATGTTAAAAAGAAAGAAAAACAAAATGTAATACTCTTTAAATATTTATATACCCATTCACATCTGTGCAGCAAATTTATTTAAGTCTGTCTGAATGCTTCTGGGTAGTTAAGTCTAAAATAGCGGTCGTAAAATACAAGTTTTGGAGATGAACATATTTCAGCTCACTTTTTGCCTATCACGTTATACCATAAAATCCATTTTACATATTACATCTCAATCTTATTTTTATATTCGGTTTTATGGTCACTTCAGCTCAGCTGTTGTTTGAATTCCTTTCGTTTTTGCATGTCTGTGGTTACAGAGAATACACCGTGTTATAACAGAAGTCTGTTATTTATAATTCCTTCTTTGAATTATTATTATATATTTTTTCCTAGCCCGTTAACTTAAATAAAAAGTTACAAAACGTTATCATCAAGTTATCGTTGACAATTTGACGATTAGTTTGAAAATAACGGAGGTGTATTTCTGAAAATGATTCTTATCATGAAAGATTATTGATTGTCAGACCATCAGATTTACGAATACAAAATATGATGTAACCAAATAAAAAATTATATATAATTTATTTATCCACAAGATCTTCAATAGTAGATATTTATTTTTCATAGGTAAAAAACAGGCAGAACTGAAAGATTGGTTTCTAAACATACTTGATTGATGAATGATTAAGTCAGTTGCCCTTTGAGCTAGGAGCTTATTCTGCAACTGCATCATCGATTATCAAACGAAAAAATTCGGGC